CAGCCAGCCGACGACGCTTTTCAGCCATCTTCGCTTTTCCCAGTTTGCAATAAAATACAGTAACATATCTTCTCGCCGGTCGCGTTTAAAACCGCTTTGTTTGGTGGGCGACTGCAAACGCGCGCGGTTTTGGCAGCTCCCGAATTTTATTCATTAATTCCCACTGCTGACGTGCGTTTTATGATCAGTTTATGAGATAAAATAGTACGACTTTCGTATGAAATTATATAAGCTGCTTCGATACTCGCGTCAATTTAATATTAAGATGCAAATGCCATAAATACTAAATCTATTCCTTTTTTGTTGCTACACGGTGCGAAAAACTGATTATTTTTAGTCAAGTAACAAACACATTATGATAAATACATTCCAAACCCATATATCCCTTAAAGGCAATTTCCAATTATCAATTATTTATTTATAAATATTTAATATTTATTTATTTAATGATTTCTTAATACTATTGTATTTATAAAAAGCAAATGAAAAAATATCAATAAGAATTGTATTACCTTTTATTTAAACATCTATGAAACTATGGCATGGAAAAATACAAAATAATCATAAATCTTTGATAAAAACATGTGTTATTTTCTTTCTGTGTAGGCTGACAGCATAAACACACATACTTGCGCATTAGGAGAGAATAAAATGGTTCGTTCGCTCTCTTCGCTCTTTTACCCCAACCCACCCCCACTCGCTCTTTCTCTCTCTCTCTCCATCGGAGGCAGTACCGTTTTGAGCATTAACAGCGGCGGCTAAAAACGCACCGAAATCGCGCTGCTGCCGCCGCTGGGCGCCTGTTCGTTTTTGCGATAGACGCGCGACGTAAGTCGCCGCCGTTTCACTTCTGTCTCTGTTTCGGATTCGATGCGATTCCGCGTCGAATAATACCGCACGCTGTTTTTGGTTTTGGGCGCTGCGAGAAACGCGAGACGGACTACCGTCCGTTTCTGCCGCGTTTCTGTCGTCGCCGGCGTTTTTTTAATTCGCGCCGATTTTGCAATGTTTTCTCGTGCCGCCGGCCGATGTTAGATGTTAAGAGGCCCCAACAACAGTCGCGTGGAAACTTTAACAGTGGGGCCTCGTATTTTCCACTCTCTTTCTCGCTCTCTCTCTCTCTCTGCGATTGCGTGTGTATATTTTGTACTCTCTATCGATGGTGCTCCATTAGGAACGAGAGTTAAGATCATTTCATTGGGTAAAAATTTAAAAGATACAATTATAATCTTCATAGTCAGAAGCTATTTAAAATGCATCCCTTGAAAGATTTGCAATTTTTTACTAAAAACACGTATTTTCGAGCTAAAATATTTAATGTAATTTAATGTAAATAGTCGTAATGGCATTACTTTAGCATTCGCTGGATCCAAACTGTAAATATATAAAATCTTACAGTGCAACAATGAAATTATTTTGTTTACTTTGGGTATTACTACCTGCTCAGTGTTATGAAGGATTCGGGTTCCTAGACATTTACCTAGACATTTGTTGCATTTGACTCTCAGAATCTTTTTTCCTAATAGCTACATAGCTCACTCGCTCTTCGACTTAATATTACTCAGTCACTGCGGGTAAAATCATTACAAAAACGCAAAGACAATTGTTAATCATGAGGTTCCCCAAGTTGTTGCAACGTCGCTACCGTCAAACGTTACAAATTCCTTTTCTTACAGTAACTGTAAAAGTATAAAGGACGGATTTATATGAACAGAATTTTTATGGCTCTTATCGATTTCCTTACGAAAACTGTTTTCCCAAGAGTTGTGGCCGAAAATTAATGATGTCTTAACAAAGCTTTTTAATTAAAAATGCTAAGCCCCTCAAATATTTTAGGGGAATGGTCTGGAGGCTCTCGGTATCGCTTCTTGTTCCCCCAGGAGGGAATCTTTTCTTATCGTTGTTTTTTTATGTTATGTTTGCACTTGATTTTATGGCTTTGTTTTGGAAATTTATAATGTTTTTATTAAAATATATTTATGTACGACTGATTTAATATACAAAATTAAAGTCCTCAATCAGTGGAAATCATAAAGTAAAAAGAAAACTTACAAAAGCGTTTATCAATGGTACAACTATTAACATAAAAAAAAAACATTGTCAATTTAAAAACATATTCTATGAATAAGTCAAACTATACCTTCTTTATAGATTCACAATTTAACTATCCCTTAAAATAAGAAAAATGTGTAGTTTTTTCCTAAAATTTTTTTTTTAATTGAAAATTTATAAATTTTTTATTTGTATCCGGTGATTTTGAATTTCTGTAAGTGAGAAGCATTTCGTGATTACGTGGGTTTTCATCTCATGCAGCTGTATTTCCGTTCCACTTGACACCGCCTACCTCAATGGGTTAACGGAGTTCTGTTTTTTAATTAAACGCAGCGGCAGCAGCGAAAACAATAACAACATTAGCGAAGAATAGCAAACAAATCGCTCGCCTCTAATTTGACCTTTTTTTGTGATGCGAGTGAGATGGTTAAGTTACTCTTTCACTCAGATACTGTATCTTTCAGTTACTCTATCACTCAGTTACTCTCACTCATTTACAACATTGCGCACTCCATAACATAACTCGCTCTGGCACACTCTCTCTCCATCGCTCACATATGGCCCCCTCCCACTCACACCTGTGGTGAGAGCAACAGCCCTGCTGTCTCGCTCATTCGCACTCGTCCGTTGCTTTCTCGCTCCCCCCAGGCCACCCACTCTCCCGCTCTCCCGCTTTCTCCGCCTGCCAAAGCTGAGCGCCTGTTATTCGGTTCGGCCAAACCGCCGTTCGTTTGTATGCGAGTGGGTCTTTGTTTTTGTTTCGAACGCGAGTAAAGTCGCGCTGGCGTTTTCATAAGTTCCCGATATTTCGACCAGAGCCCCAAGCTGAAAGCCCAAAACCAGTTTCCACTGCAGCCAAGGAGTTCGGCTTTGGGCTTTAGGGTCTTGGCTTAGCCTTCTCATCTCGCCTCTTGTTTACAGCTTAATTTGCCTGCACCACCCCTACCACCCCCGGATGGTTCCAGCCCCTTTCATCCACGTGCCGCTCAACTCATACAGTCGAACTTCTATAGCTCGGAATAAGGGAAACTTAAGAATTGAAGAAACTTAAAATTGGAAACTTTTAATATTATTTAGTAAAGTGACACATTTACTCAGGTTTCAAGGATTTAATGTTATGCCATTATACGATTTTTATAGTATTTTTGGTCGGAAAATAAAATATTTTACTTACAAATTTGAATTAGAAAGATCACAGTTACTAAAGTTTAAATATAATAAAATTGTAAATACTTAATACGATTTTTTCTATATATTTTCTTTAGGAACTTAATAATGGAATTCCATTTAAATAATGTTAATAGTCAATCAAAGTTATAAAGTTGAAGAGAGAGTGAAACAACTTCTTCTTTTTGAAATTGTTGAGTAGAATAATGATCAAAAATGTCAAAAATATTTAAAATATAATTTATAATATTTTTATAATTATTATTTTTTAAAATTATAACTTGAAAGCTAGCCAAGTTCTTCTGTACTGCATATTTGGCATAAGTTGCCGCAGATTTCTTGCTCATTTGCGCCTCTGCAACAAGCAAAGTTCGTCGTCGGCTGTCGTTCGTTTGCTGCCATTCGTTTTTCGCCCCAACGACCGTTGACTCTTTCCACAGAGCTCCACAGAGCTCCACAGAGCTCCACAGCTCTACAGCTCCATAGAGCCCACATAGCACTCAGCACCACCGATTTCTCAGCACATCCAAAGCCCAGAGTCAAGCAAAAGCAAAAGCAAAGGCAAAACCACCGAGCCCCAACCGTTCCGTTCCGTCCATCAGTCATTCATTCAACCGCCAGACGCGGCGCAGGCCAGTTGAGTGTGTCAGTCGCTGTCTCTCATTGCCGATTTCGATTCCGATTCAGATTCCGATTTTGAATCCGATTCCCGATTCCGATTCCGAGTCCGAGACCATTTGTCTTTGTTTTGTTCTCTGTTTTCTGTTTTCTCGCCTTTTTCGAGACACGCGAATGCGAATGTGTATAAGAAAACGCGCAACGGCCGCTCGCGTTTTGCCAGCGATTAGTGGCTTTAATCAGCTTTGCTCAGATTCACTGAGCAAAAAGATTGCCATCAAAATATAGAAGAAAATCGAATGATTTGATGTACAAACTGTTTAAAATTTGAGCATGATTTATATGAGAATGATGTAATTTAAAGTATCTTTGAGATACTTTTCCTAATTTTTGAAATATAAAGCTGGTGAGCTGTTGATTTCTGTTCTCTATGTGTATCTTCTGTTTTTTCCAGTGCCTAAGCGTTATCAAAATTCCAATGTTCTATTCTTAAAATCGAACTAAAGTTCTATTTTTTAAGATCTTAACTTATTTTTAATATTAATTTTTCTCAGTGCCTGAAGAGTATTTCTTATACTTTTAATACCGTACGGTTGCATTGTTTTTATCAGTTCTTTGAATTTGTGTTCGTCGATCTATTTTGTTTATAATTTGTTGTGGTTTCTTTTAAACGTATTAGTGTGCTTGTATTGACATTACTCATGTGCTCTTTCTTTCTTTTTATTTCTCTTGCTCTCACTTTCCGCTTTTTCTTATCAGTTGATTCGTACATATTTAGTTTCGCTTCCAACCGATCCATAAATCGCCCAATTTCGAATAGAAACGAGAGAGTAGAATGGCGTAAATATGACCTTGGGACAGATAAGAAAGCCACTTTCGTTTGGGATTTAGAAGATGTCTAATTATGAATAAGTATATTTATTAAATATATAAGTTCTAATGATAAGAACTTAACTTCCGGTTTGTTGAATTCTTTAAAGATGATTATGAAAATTGGGAAATACACAAATATTTGTAATCAAAGTAATAATTTTTTAATTCAAGTAAAAATGTTTAGATATTTTTAAAAATAAAATTTTATTTTAATTTTAATTAAAGTAATATTTTACAATGAAGAATTATAAATTTTTTAAGTAATTTACAACTTTTCCTTTTCAGGACTTGCCACAGGATGTTGACCTGGCTTTCCCGTGGCTGCTTTCACCTGCACCAGCAGCGATATTCCTCACACCTCTCCGCGTAGAAAAGGCACTTCCGGCATTGCAGCGATATCAGATATAGACAACCGATATATATATATATATAATACATATATTCGCCGCCGCTGTCGCCGCCTTGTTCTTCGCGATTTCGTCGCCGTCAGCGTTCGCCGCCGACTGAGACGAAAGCTGCGAAGCAACGAGCGCCAGCGAAAGCCTCACCACGGACGCATTTATGGATGCGGGCGGCCTGCCAGTTTTCCAGAGCGCCAGCCAAGGAGCCGCCCAACAGCAGCAACAGCAACAGCAGCAGCAGCAGCAACACCAGCAGCAGCAACATCTGAATCTCCAGTTGCACCAACAGCACTTGGGCCTCCATCTGCAGCAGCAACAGCAGCTGCAACTGCAACAGCAGCAGCAGCAACACAATGCCCAGGCGCAGCAGCAGCAGCAGATCCAGGTGCAGCAGCAACAGCAGCAGCAGCAACACTCGCCCTACAATGCCAGCCTGGGAGCAACAGGCGGAATTGCTGGAATCACTGGCGGCAACGGAGCTGGCGGCCCTGCGAATCCAGGAGCGGTTCCCTCGGGAGCAGCGGGCAACGACAATATGCCCGCCAAGCGGATGCCGGTCGTCGATCGCCTGCGACGCCGCATGGAGAACTACCGCCGCCGGCAGACGGACTGCGTGCCCCGCTATGAGCAGGCCTTCAGCACCGTCTGCGAGCAGCAGAACCAGGAGACCACCGTCCTCCAGAAGCGCTTCCTCGAGAGCAAGAACAAGCGGGCGGCCAAGAAGACCGACAAGAAGCTGCCCGATCCCTCGCAACAGCAGCAGCATCAGCAGCAGCAGCAGCAACACCAGCAGCAGCAACATCAGCAGCACCAGCAACACCAGCAGGCCCAGACAATGTTAGCCGGACAGCTGCAGAGCAGTGTTCATGTGGTGAGTCCTACAGATTTTACCAGTATCTTTATTTTTGTGGGGAAAATCCATCTAGATTTAAAGTAATCAAATGCCAAATTATATTCCATTTCAATGTCATTTAAAGATAATCAGTTTTTCAAAGGGGTTACAGACTTTATTCATCGTATCTGTGATATTTATAAAATTTCATATCAATCACTGGTAGTTTTTGAAGCAGATATTAAACAAATATATCAAAACTAATCATATATCTATAATAACTACTTCTAATTAGTTAAAATAATCACTGAACTTTTTTTGACCTGATTTTTAAAAGTATTTATACAAAGTGCATTCGAAAATCCTTAAACCGACCTTAAAAGATGTTTTAAATCTCAATGTCATTTGATCGACACTATTATGAAATTTTACAAAATATTAGAAATTGATACAAGAAGTAATGAAGAAGATACTGAATAGATAGGTAGGTAAGAATTATTTAACCTTAGGCAATATTTCATCACAATCACGTCGCATTAAAAGATGATTCAAATCGGAATGTACTTTCATGAGATAATGAGATATGATTGTGAAATCGATTTTTATTATTCACAACAAAATTTTTAAAACAGTCAAGAACAAATACTAATAAATGGGAAAAAATATTATTTTTATAAGTAAGAAAAGTTAGAAATTTCGCAAATATGGGTATTATTTAACCATAATTAAATCCTCAAGCCATAATTCACCACAGTCACAAATCCATCACAACAAAAGGTGATTCAAATCTGATGATTCAAAATCTGAATCTGTACTTGTATCGACATTATTATTGTCGCCCTAGCTGCGAATTCTCGCAAGATGAGATTGTGAAATGGATTTGGAATTTCATTGGGATTTCGAAAGAGCTTGGGATTATCTCGGCGAATGCAAATTGCCAATCGCATCCAGCAGATACGCGGGTATATCTCATCAATGCAATGGGCTGGTTGCCTCACATTAGAGCTGGTGCAGTAGTCCGCGGTCTCAAAAGAGCAGCGAAATAAATACGAAGCCAGCAATCCAAGCGGAGAATGCACGTACATATATACACAAAATAATAATGAGGTCAGCGATTTTTTTCTGTTTTTTTACTTTTTGTATTTTGTGTGCGAGTGTGCTGGTTTTTTTTTTGCTGTTGTACTCTTTCGGTTTCAGTTCAGTTTCACTCACAAACTGCGCCGCCAACTTGTAGCTACAAGATACATTCATTCGCTGTAGCTACAAGCAATTGTAGGTACTACTTAGCTGACTTTTTGACGTTCCTTTGGTTGCATTTGAAAATACCTTGAACAGCAGCAGCAGCAGTAAAGCGGCACCGCAAAAAAGTTGTGTGTATTTTGCGAATCAAAAGATTTTTTCTAAGTGATGCAAGCCGCGAATCTCAACGGCCTCTGGCTTATATAATTGTTAGTTCTGTCGACAATCCGTCAAGCGACCCCATCGCAGCTTGTAATTACCAGAGCCCAGCTCGAACTCGAGATACTGATTCTGCTTCTGATTCTGATTCCGATTCCAATTCCGACTCGGAGTTTCTATTTCTTTTATCTGGGCGACGCGGAACGTGAGTTATTCGTCGTCTCGACGAGATCTGTTCTGAATCGTTCGTTTTGGTTTCGGTTCGGATTGGAGTGGAGTGGAAAAGTTTTTCCGCATCCGCCTGGCCAAGTCATTTGTGCACTGTGCTTGTGCCCCTCCTTTCCCATCAGCACGTAATTATTCATCGCTGACTGGTAGTTGCTGCTGATGATTTGTCCCCCTTCATTTGAATTCTTTTCTTTTCATATGCAAAAAGTTGATTTGGCCCGCTGCTGCCTGCAGCTAAGGATGAGGATGCTGAAATGGCTGGGGTCTATTAGGGGAAAATCTGTCTAGAGAAAGAGTCATTCAGAATGTGGCCTTCTAATTAACTTATCAACGTATATAAAGACATTTTTGTTATATGCTAGGTATATTTTAGAATATTTTTGTTGTTTTTTTTTTAAACCAATTTAATTAATTAATAAATCATTATTTAAAAAAAAGTTAAATTACATCAAACATTTTTAAAAATAGTACTACTATTTTGACCGCAGCGGTGTGATATGGCTATGTTTTCTTTTGTGTATTTCATGGTGTAAAAAAATCTTAAAATTATTTTGAGTAAGAGATTCGAAAGATAAGGAGTGGCACTTTTAAAATTGTACGCCCCTGTACGTACACTGTCAATATTTTGAAAAGGCAAAAATATTATGAATGCAAAATTGCGATTAAGAAACTGAAAGGGAACATTTTCTTTAAATTTGGAAGCAAGCATGTCATAAAAAAGTCTGTTATTTTCCTGATTTTATCGTTTTTTAGATTGATTCCATAGTAGATAGCTTCCACAGATCTTCCCAATAATTGGACTAATTTAATTACTTTTCGAATCCGCGGTTAACAACTCACCCATTCCTTAGGCATCTTGCCAGCGAATTAATGATCATTGCAATGGACAGGGAGCGGTTAATCTAAGTTGGCTTTTCACTTTTCATTTCTTTTATTTCGCTGCTTTTACTGTTTTGGAAAACTTTTACTGATTGTTGCCGCCGCCTGCGGTTGCCGGTGAAAAAAGCTGGAAATTGCGGCCGTTGAAGCCGGTGCAACATGCAAAACAAGAAAGCAACATCGTCAGCAACAACAAAAGCAACAAAAATAAACCGCGTCCAACATATTGTTTATAATGCGTTGTTGTTTGTTTTTATTTTATTTGGGAAAGTCGCGTGTTGCAGTTTCTTCTTCAGCTTCTTCTAGCTGCACTTTTTCCCCCAGTTTTATTACTTTTTCTCTTGTTGTTGTTTTTGTTGTGTTTCATTCATTGTTGCCAATTTTCACTTCACTTTGGGTCGTGTGGCATTTTCTGACAGCCGTCAGTCATTCAGTCAAAGTCTCGAAGCGCAGTCAACAAAACAAAAGTTGCATGAGCAATCTGCCCCGCCCCTTTTCAGCCCACCGCTGAAATCCTTCTCCCCTTTTCACCCCCCTCCCCCTGATTTTCCCGCTTTTCGCGTAGATTGTTGTTTGTTTCAAGTGCCTCTGCTTCTGCTTCTCCTGTTGTTGCATCTTGATTGACAAGTGACAACATATTATTGGCGTATCGTTGCAAGCTTAGATTATTTGTTGCCGTTGTTGTTGTGGTTCCATTGGCATTGTTTATCGCTTCTGCAGAAGCCGCCGCCTCCGCCTCCGTCGGTGGGCGTGGTCTGAAAAGTTACTTAAATTACGACAAGCGGGTAATTTATATATTGAGGTAGTTAAGGTGAAATTTTACAACAAACATGAGAAAAGCAATTTGAATTCCGGACAGAATGAGCTGTGATTTTTATTTTGCATAGTAATTTAATATGGTGTTGTGTGCTAAAAAAATCTTTACGGACTTAAGAATATTTTCAATGGTTCTGGATAATGATTTTAGCTAATTAAAAATTTGGATTGTTAATAATAATCATAATATATAATTCTTTTTATTAATTTTAAATTTGCTTCGTTTTTAGACTATACTGTAAACTGTAAACTATGTTAATAGTATTTAAATTAAAATCCTATCTTTTTAAATATTTTAAAGTTTTTATAAATACCTGTACTCGAATTATAAATGATTATTTCCATAAAATACCTGTGATCTCGAGCAAAAATTAAATTCATTGTCCGGGGCTCAATGTTTAATTTATTGCACATTATTCCAAAGTTTTTCGCCCTTCTTGGCTGTCTTGTTCAACTTGTCGACAATTTATGTATTTGAAACATTTTACACATTTTTGTTAAATGCATCATTTATCTTCGACTTGCCATCGAAGTTGGGGGCAGACCGAAAATTGCCCTCTTCGCCCTCCGCCCATGTCTCTTTCCCGGCAAAAGGGGATTCACCTTAACAGTCTGCACCCGTTGCGTGCTCCATCTTTTGGCCTAACGAAGATGTGGAGGGGTTTGAGTGGGTTCACCAAAAAAAGCAGAAGAAAAGGGGCCTGTAAGTGGGGAGTGAGTGTGGGAGGAAGCAGGGGCGTGGAACGGAAACGCTGGGAGGGGGGTGGAAAGGGGCACAAAATCGATTCCATTTCGACAAATGGGAGAAGGCAAACAGCCGAAAAAAGCAAAGAAAACGAATTGCAGACGAAAAACTGAATGCGGCCTGCACTTGACTACAGATGAGGGGCTACATGGATTGATATATTATATATGCAGTATATAGCAAATGATGTGCGGGATATATAGACGGCGGAATAAATTATTGCCGGATTTCTGCAATAATATTGTTGCAGGAGGCAATGCATTCTCTTCGATTACTTCTTATCATTTATTGCATCATTTTGGAAGCAATCTGAACCTCAGTTTGAAGAGCCCTTAACAATAGAAACTTATAGCTATTTTAAACAGACTTTATTTCTATTGATTAGTTGCATACTTTTTGAATACCACATTTCCTTTTATTTTTAATTATTGTGAGGACAAATATTTAGAAAAAATATTATTGATATTATTAAATAATATCATTAATATTTTAGTTAATTTTATGAATAAGATTTAGTTCCACTGTTGTCCTTGCACAGTGGGCCTGATTGTCACTTAAAGGGAAATAAAGATTTTTGGAACATTCGCAATGCACTTGAAAGTTTTCTGTTTTGTGCGTGATATCCTAATATCCTTCTGCCTCGAACAGGTTACCTAAAATAAAGCTAAACGAATAGAAGGGGATTTGGGAGGGGGCTGAACAGGTTACCCAAACACACACACAATGAATTTTGCATCTTTTATTTATTATGTTTGGCAAATTTCATTGCATATTAAAAATGCAATTTTCCACAAGAAGAGGAGCTTTTCGTTCACCTTCCTGCCATCCGGCCATTTATCCTTTACCATCCTCCCGACTTTTTCGGGCCTTCAAAGCTCTTTGGGCCCTGCGAGCTTTAAGTTCTTGAGTCTGGCTTTTGTCAATTGTCTTAAACATTTTAATTGCTTTACGTTTGTCGTTTGCAAACGTTGTT